AGGTCGAGTAGCCGTTCCAGGGCCATCGAGTCCAGCGCCCTGCCCTGTATATCAGGGTATGCGGCCTGTGCCAAGGCCAGGAGCGAGCAGCGGAAAACCAATAGAGATTCCCCCTCCTCCCGCCGCCGTAGTGAAAACTTCTGGCGTGCCCTGGACGGCGGCTCGAGTACATCGGCCATCCGGAGGTACACTGTCGGAAGCGTAGCCTTATCGGCCGGGGGAATGGACTTGAAGACCTGCATCGCCTTCTCGTCCAGGTAGGTCGGAAGGGCCCCCAACGCCTCCTCCATGGACCAGCCGACCGACATATACGCCGCGTCGAACCGGTCCTGGAAGGCCAACCAGTCGCCCACTTTCGTAACAAACGGCGCGATGTGGGGTAACCGGCGCAGCCCCTGGCCGCGCGGTGCGGCGAGGTATGGAAGCCCCCCGACTCCCGCGGGCCACCCTGCAACCACAGCGTGGTGCGGCAGCGTTGCGGCCCCCGTAGGCCACGCCGAAGACGCGGCAAGGTGCGGTGGCGCTGCGGCCCCGTAGGCCACGCCGAAGACGCGGCAAGGTGCGGTGGCGCTGCGGCCCCGTATGCCACGCCGAAGACGCGGCAAGGTGTGGTGGCGCTGCGGCCCCCGTAGGCCACGCCGGAGACGTGGTGGGTGACGGCAGAGTTGCGGCCCCCATAGGCCACGCTGGAGGCGTGGTGGGTGGCGGCAGAGTTGCGGCCCCCATAGGCCACGCCGAAGACGCGGCAAGGTGCGGTAGCGCTGCGGCCTCCGTAGGCCACGCCGGAGGCGCGGTGGGTGGCAGCAGAGTTGCGGCCCCCATAGGCCACGCCGAAGACGTGGCAAGGTGCGGTGGCGCTGCAGTCCCCGTAGGCCACGCCGGAGACGCGGTGGGTGGCGGCGGAGTTGCGGCCCCCATAGGCCACGCCGAAGATGTGGCAAGGTGCGGTGGCGCTGCGGCCCCCGTAGGCCACGCCGGAGACGCGGCGGTATAACACGGCCCCGCGGTGGCCCCTGCGGGCCACCCCGCAGGCGCGGCGACGGATCGATCTGCAGCCGCAGCCACGGCAACCTCCTGCGATGCGGCGAGGGGCGACGGCGTTGCGGCCTCCCCAGGCCATGCCGTAGACGCGGCGAGGTGTGGAGGCGCCACAGCACCCACAACCCACCTGTCCGCGGCGCCGTACGGAGCCGCGGTGCCGGCGTGTGTGCCTGCGGCGGCCTCCGCATCCGCGGCATCTTCCTGCGACGCGGCGTGGTGCGGCAGCGTTGCGGCCCCCGTGGGCCATGCCGGAGACGCGGCGAGCAGCGGCCGCGTTGCGGCCCCCCCGGGCCACGCCGTAGACGCGGCGACCTGCGGAGGTGCAGCAGCGGCCGCCGCCAACCCTGCCGACGCGGCGGGATGCGGAGGCGCACTAGCGCCCGTGACCCACCTTGAAGGCGCGACAAGGTGCGGGCCCGCGGCATCGCCAACGGCCAGCCCCGCGGCCCCGCCCGCGACGAGGGCCGGCGGCGCTGCGGCCTCCGTGGGCCACGCCGCAGATGCGGCGAGGTGAGGAGGCGCAGTAACGCCTGCGAGCCACCTCGCAAATGCGGCGGCATATGGATCCGCGGCCCATCCCGCAATTGCGGCAGAATCCGCGGCCTGGCTCGCCGGTACAGCGAGGTGCGGAGCCGCGGCAGCGACATCCGCGGCAGCGACATCCGCGGCAGCGACATCCGCGGCAGCGACATCCGTGGCAGCCTCCGCGGGCAAGCTCGCAGCCACAGCGAGGCGCGGAGCCGCGGCAGTGACATCTGCGGCAGCGACATCTGCGGCAGCCTTTGCGGCCAAGCTCGCAGCCACGGCGAGGTGCGAATCCGCGGCGGCATCCGCAGCCGCATCCGCGGCCGCCACGGCCGCAACAATGGCTGCCGCTTCCGGTGTCGCAGCGGAAATTACGTCCGCTTGCGGCTCCCCCACCAACTTCCAAATTGGCGGGCGGCAAAGCGGCGGGAATCCGCCGGTGCCACGCGGAGTGTGGGCTGGGTGGGTGCGTCCGCGCTCCCACCTCTGTAAGGGCGGCGGTGAGCTGCTCGATCGCCCGCAGGAGCAGCTGCGACCACTCCTCGGCATCGCTCCCCGCCACCGGCGGTGGTGCGCTGGGACCCCCAGCCGCCGACACCACCTGCCCCGCTGAGTCCATCTCCATGGCAACGGACTGCCCCCGGGTCGCAGCCGGAGCCTCCCCGACGTCGTCAGCACTCTCCCGGCGTCCCGCCGGTGGATTCTTACGCCGCCAGCCCGATTTAGGCATAGCGACGGCAGCGTAACCACTCCTGACACCAGTTGTAAAGGAGTTCCCGATGACTCACTCGGAGGCTAAGGTAAGGTAGGGGCTTCCGCCAAGGTTTTATTACAAATCTTTAACAATACACAGGGGTGAACAACTCCCCAGGGGTTAGGGGTCCCGGGCTAGGTCCTGACACAGCCGGCTGCCCTGTGCTGTCTCCTCTGCCCCGGCCGTGGGATCAACCAACACGGCCGAGCGAGGACCACAGCCACGTCTAGCCTGGCACTGTGCTCTCCCCTATCCCTACCCTCTTGCCTCTGGCTCTCCGTTCCACCCTTCTCCGACCCTACTCTCCAGCTACGACCCCGCTTACGTCACCGGGTCCCCCTTTTATCCTTAAGGAGCCGTGACGTCACTCTGCTGCCCGAGCGCATGACGTCACGTCATCGCCCTGGACAGCACAAGTGATGCCACTTCCCCATTCTACTCCTCTACACATTTAAACCATGACACCAGTACACAATGGTCTACTCATGAAAATTTACGCGAGAAATAATGACTTTAATATCTATATGGCAGCATATGTTGCATGTTGGTGTGTATAATATGCCTGCAATATTAATAATACAATTATTAACATTTGTGAAGTGCTGCATTTCATCCGTGGATCCCACAAATCCGTACCGTGTATAAAAAGTACAAAATATACACATCCTGCAGTGTAAACAGCCAACACTCAAAGGCGGGCAAAGCTTCATTTACCCACTAACTCAATCACTCACTTGATGGATGACCCACTCACTTCCTACTCAATAAGTCAACTACTCACCCATTCCATGACCCAATCACTCACCCACTCGCTCAGGTAAATGGCAAAACTAGGCAGGGGATGAAGACCAGTTTACAAAGGTGATTTTTTAAGATAGACTTCAATATATATATCTGATTGTCTTATTAATCAGAGTGGCCGCTTCATTTTACCAGAGTGGCGAACCCGGAATATTGTGATTGGTGACATTTGCAATGCGTGGGAAAAACCTTCTCTGGAACTGGGAGAGGAGGCAGTTTGACTGGAAGGTTCTGCAGTCAGTCGGTGTATGTTTCTTTGCACTCATACTGGTAGAGCTCACTTAGTGGCGATTGGTAATGTAACCTACAGCGCGCTGCACTACGAACCAGGCAACATGAGTTTGATTCCAACTCACCGTACGCCTTTTGGCGCCTTTTGGCGCCTTTTGGCGTCCTTGGGTCTAACACCGTTTAAAATGCAGCAAGTTGGCACAGTGGGCAACACAGGTGATGCATCTGCCAGTCATCTCAGTCATCCCCTGATACCTGGATCATTCCCATGACCTACTGGCAATTGCTCCACACTTACATGGCCTCAATTCGCACCTATCATGGCATGACCACTGTAATGATGTTACTACCAGTTAGTGGTGAATGGTAGCTGTTTTATTTGTATAATCTGTTAATGATCCATGTGAAACATATCTGTATGTAAGAGTGTATCGACATGCGGAGTGGAGGCACATTTGTTCGTCCACTGCATTATGGAGCCAACATTCAGAGTTGTATTATTGCTGACAGCAGACATGATTGACAAGTGATAGCTTAACTTATTGTAGGCCTCTGCTGGGTTGATTGTTCCTAGGTTAAGTACTTGGTGAAGAGTATAAGCATCTGTACTGAGCAGATGAAAGCAGCCAGGCATGGTTCTAGCTACAACACCACCACCTTCACTGTTCCAGTGCGTGAGAGTATATTATACGCCTAGGTTTAATCAAAGAAATGAAGTTTTTCTATTACATGTGTTAAATAAGCTCCTTGGAGACATCCATTTTCAGGGGAGTAGAGCTTTATTTCTCCGAACGTATATACAGTCCAAGTGTAACGACTGCCACCCTCGCAATCGCTATGTCTATCTTCAGCCCCGACGGTTTCCACCTAGTTGATACCTGAACAGTCAACCCCGATGGTTTCCACAGTCGGCCCCACCGTCGTCCACCTCTGGTCGTGAATCAGTCCCCGAGTAAGCGCCCCAACCGCGGGCCTTGCTCCCCCTTATATACTCGCACGCCCCCCCTCCCACTTTACTATAACATGTGTGTCCCTAATTGAATTATACTTACAGTGCCTTCCGGTCTGCTGTTTCCAATCAACACAACGCGCACCTTCTGGAACCTTCTCTTGTACAGTCCCCGACACATGGAACGTTTCATAAGCATGGAAATCACAGCACATGAAGCTGAAATTACATCTGTTCATTCAAGCATTCAATCAAATCTGAGCCTGGCTTCGGACTTACAAGTTGCGATTGAACATTAATTTGTCCATTTTATAATATTTCTTCCAAATGTGAATAATTTAATTTTTAACACTTTGCTATTTTTATGAGATTTTTGCAATAGTTAACATTTGTTCAATAGCCAGATACAACCGAAATTCTGTACGTACGGGTTATCATTGATATTAAATATACTTGGGCCTCCAGGCATTATACTGACGACTTGCCTTACTATGCCAGGCCAACACCTGATTGTCAATAGGAGCAAGTGCCGTAAATCAGCCTGTGTGATAAATTTGAGGGTGATTTTTTTTGTATTTCTCGTTAATGTTTGAGTGTTCTTGTCCATGTAATATGTGAATATCACGTGTGACTGTATACATATGCATTTCTATGCTTCTATGCTGACATTGCGTGGATTTCACTGTTTTCTGTCTGCAGCTGCCAGTTCCTCTGCCACTTTGCTGGACAGAATTGGTCATATGGAGCGAAAACAATCAGCGGGAGAAAAACCCTTCAAGTGCACTGTGTGTGGGAAGGCGTTTGCACATGCATCAATTCTTCAGGTCCACCAGAGAACACACACGGGAGAGAAACCCTTCAAGTGCACTGCGTGTGGGAAGGCATTTGCACGGTCATCAAATCTTCAGGGCCACCAGAGAACACACACGGGAGAGAAACCTTTCAAGTGCACTGCGTGTGGGAAGGCGTTTGCAGACTCGTCACCTCTTAAAAGACACCAGAGAATACACACAGGAGAAACACCCTTCAAGTGCATTGTGTGTGGGAAGGCCTTTGCACAGTCATCAGGTCTTAAAGCACACCAGAGAATACACACAGGAGAAACACCCTTCAAGTGTACTTTGTGTGGTAAGGCATTTGCACAATCATCAACTCTTCAGGGCCACCAGAGAACACACACGGGAGAGAAACCCTTCAAGTGCACTGTGTGTGGGAAGGCGTTTCCGCAGTCATCGCATCTTAAAATCCACCAGAGAAGTCACACAGGAGAGACACCCTTCAAGTGCACTGTTTGTGGGAAGGCCTTTGCAAAGTCATCCCATCTTAAAACACACCAGAGAATACACACAGGAGAAACACGCTTCAAGTGCACTGTGTGTGGGAAGGCGTTTGCAGAGTCATCACGACTTAAAAGACACCAGAGAATACACACAGGAGAAACACCCTTCAAGTGCATTGTGTGTGGGACGGCCTTTGCACAGTCATCATATCTTAAAATACACCAGAGAATACACACAGGAGAAAAACCTTTCAAGTGTACTTTGTGTGGGAAGGCATTTGCACGGTCATCAAAGCTTCAGGGCCACCAGAGAACACACACAGGAGAGAAACCCTTCAAGTGCACTGTGTGTGGGAAGGCATTTTCACAATCATCATATCTTAAAATACACCAGAGAAGTCACACAGGAGAGACACCCTTCAAGTGCACTGTTTGTGGGAAGGCCTTTGCAAAGTCATCCCATCTTAAAACACACAAGAGATTACACACAGTAGAAACACCCTTCAAGTGCACTGTGTGTGGAGAGGCCTTTGAACAGTCATCACATCTTAAAACACACCAGAGAAAACACACAGGAGAGACACCCTTCAAGTGCACTGTGTGTGGGAAGGCGTTTGCATATTCATCAATTCTTCAGTGCCACCAGAGAACACACACGAGAGAGAAAACCTTCAAGTGCACTGTGTGTGGGAAGGAATTTTCACTGTCAACATATCTTAAAAAACACCAGCAAACACACACGGGAGAGAAACCCTTCAAGTGCACTGTGTGTGGGAAGGAATTTTCACTGTCAACATATCTTAAAAACCATCAGCGAACACACGTAGGAGAAAAACCCTTAAAGTGCACTGTGTATGGGGGGAAGGGTTTTCGACAGTTAGGGGATCGAAACAAGCATCAAACCATTCATCAGGAAATTAATCTGAAATCGGCTTGTGAAAGTCAAAGTGCTGCAATGAGTCCATCCCTCATGAAACAAGAACCAGAAAAACATTTGAGATGTGAAACGTGGCCAGAAGTGAAGGCGAAATGTCAAGAAGTGAAAATAAAATTTGAATCAGTGAAGGTGAAAAGTGAAGTGACAGTAAAGTCTGAAGAAGTGATAGTGAAATGTGAGGATGAAGATTCAACTTCAAAATCCGACCTTCACGTTGATCGAGGCAGCGTTAAGCTGGAGGAGACTGTGGACTCTGAGGCAGAGCGAGGCAACTCCCAGCAATTTGTGGATGTGGAGGTGTGGGTGGATTTTTTAGGCAATACTGAGTCAAATGGAGACCAAGTAGATGTGCATCATTGAGCTTAGGATAACGAAGTTCCAATCCATTCACAGGCCTTTCCCATAATAGAGGTTTTTTGGGTTAGATCGCGTAAATATGTAAATGTGTCATTAAAACCCGCCACCACCCGACACAGCCAACTAGTAAGGGTTGTCACGTAAACAGAACATGCCAATTCATCACGTTTCGCCAATCATTACAACTAGCTTCATCAGGCGACAGCCAGATTTGTGCCTTTCTAATTGCAAGGGTTTAACCTCCATGTGGTCAATAAAGGCAGCCTGAAGCTGGAGGAGGCTGTGAAATGAAACCCAGCAGTTTGTGGAGGTGGACTTTTTGGAGGATGCAGAGTAGGAGCGGCATGCATGTGTGGACTTGGAGGTTGGGTAGATCTGTAAGCAGGAGTGGGAGACAAAAAAGCTCCACAGCATTCAACGTGTTTATAATAATTTTTATTAGTAATTGGCGCTTGCATTAATGTGTTATTTCTTTCTCACTGTACGTAGCCAATCTTGCTAATCAAAGGTGAAATGCTTCAGCAACTACAAGCGGCTTGTATCATATTTCATCTCAATTTTTTGACAGCTAGCCCAAGTGGCAGCTGTCCCTTTGTGGTAGAAGGTGACTCAGTACCGACTTGCACGTGGACATGAGCCTGTCAGTTGGGTGGAGCCATGATTAATGTGTAACCCCAGTCGGGTCATTTGTGGCTAATCTTTCTAATCTGGCAAATTTTGACCCTGACACCATGAATCAGAATCAGAATCAGAAAGGGTTTTATTCGCCATGTAAGTTCACACCGACACGGAATTTACTTTGGCAGGATGGTGCATACATTCAACATATAGGAATCTAAAATCTTAAATAAGTTTTAAACAAGTCTTACTATAATAAGGGTTAAAAGTCTAACACTAAGGGGCTGAAGTATATAAAATTAAATAAATATCGAATATAAAATAGCTTTAAGATATAATTTAAAAATACAAATAGGGAAACATAGTTAATATCAGCAACGTGTCGTTATGTAGATCAAATGTTAAAAACAGTGTTAGCCCTTGGCCTTGTTTAACAGGCCAGCAGCAGATGGGAAGAAACTGTTTTTATGGCGTGAGGTTTTGGTCCTGATGGACCGAAGCCTTCTGCCGGAGGGGAGTAGCTGAAACAGAGAGTGTCCAGGGTGGGAGAAATCGGCCATAATCTTCCTCGCTCGCCTCATAGACCTTGTCGTGTGCAGGTCCTCGAGGGTCGGTAGATTGCAGGCAATTACCTTCTCAGCAGTGTGGATGATACGCTGCAGTCTGCTCTTGTCCTTGGCAGTGGCAGCAGTGTACCAGACGGTTATGGAGGAGGTGAGGATGGATTCAATGATCGCTGTATAGAATTGCACCATCATTGTCTTTGGCAGGTTGAATTTCTTCAGCTGCCGTAGAAAGTACATCCTCTGTTGAGCTTTCTTGGTGAGGGAGCTGATGTTCAATTCCCACTTGAGGTCCCGGGAAAGAATAGTGCCCAGGAAGCGGAAGGACTCTACAATTTTTACTGGGGAGTCTAACAGGGTGATGGGGGTGAGTGGTGCTGTATTCTTCCTGAAGTCCACAACCATCTCAACTGTCTTTAGAGCATTTAGCTCTAAGTTGTTCTGGCTACACCAGGTCACCAGATTGTCAGCTTCCCACCTATAGTCAGACTCATCCCCACCAGAGATCAGCCCAATGAGGGTGGTGTCATCCGCAAACTTCAATAGTTTGACGGACAGATGATTGGAGGTGCAGCTGTTGGTATACAGGGAGAAGAGCAGAGGGGAAAGGACGCAGCCCTGAGGAGTTCCGGTGCTGATGGACCTGGAGCCAGAGACTTGTGTTCCCAGCTTAACGCACTGCTTCCTGTCAGACAGGAAGTCTGTGATCCATTTACAGGTGGTGTATGGCACGTTCAGCTGGAAGAGCTTGTCCTGAAGCAGGGCAGGGATGATGGTGTTGAAGGCAGAGCTGAAGTCCACAAACAGGATCCTGGCGTAGGATGCTGGGGCGTCCAGATGCTGTAGGGTGAAGTGGAGGGCCATGTTAACTGCATCGTCCACAGACCTGTTGGCTCTGTAGGCAAACTGAAGGGGGTCCAGGAGAGGGTCTGTGATGGCTTTGAGGTGTGCCAGGACCAGGCGCTCAAAAGACTTCATTACCACAGATGTAAGGGCGACCGGTCTGTAATCATTTAGTCCTGTTGGCCTTAGCTTTTTGGGCACAGGGATGATGGTGGAGGACTTGAGACAGGCTGGTACATGGCATGTCTCCAGGGAGGTGTTAAAGATGTTGGTGAACACCGGAGACAGCTGGTCAGCGCAGTGCCTGAGGGTGGCTGGAGAGACAGAGTCCGGCCCGGCTGCTTTGCGTGGATTCTGCCTCTTGAAAAGTCTATTAACTTCTCCCTCCTGAAAGGAGATAGTCGTCTCTGTAGTATTGGTGGGGGATGGGGCCTCTTGGGTTGGAAGGGGTGGTTCAGGACAGTCCAATTGTCTTTCAAATCTACAGTAGAACTCGTTCAGGTCGTTGGCTAGGCGGGAGTCGTTAGTGGTGTGGGGGGCTCTGGGTTTGTAGTTGGTGATCTGCCTGAGCCCTCTCCAGACAGAAGCAGCGTCGTTTGTAGAGAACTGGTGTTTTAGTCTCTCTGAGTACAGTCGTTTAGCCTCTCTCACCGCTTTGCTAAACCTGTTCTTCGACTCCTTGAATCTGTCTCTATCTCCACTCCTAAACGCTTCCTCCTTCTCCAACCTCAACCTTCTGAGCTTTGCTGAGAACCAGGGCTTATTGTTGTTAAAGTTCACCCTGGTACGTGTTGGGATACAGCAGTCCTCACAGAAGCTGATGTAGGACGTCACAGCCTCTGTGAGTTCATCCAGACTATTGGTAGCAGTCGTGAACATATCCCAGTCAGTACAGTCTAAGCATGCCCGCAAATCTTCCACAGCCTCACTGGTCCACTGTTTAGATGTCCTCACAGCAGGTTTACAGAGTTTTAGTTTCTGCCTGTATGTAGGAATCAGGTGTTGAACATCTACTGTTAAGCAGATTTTTGGTCTATTGCTGCAGTAATCATGAGGGTTGCCGGACAGATGTGAACCGAACACGAGTTTAGAGCTGACGGAAGAAGTATCGCTCAAGTCATTCTATCCTGAGTGCCAGCTCCCACCAGCAGCTCCACCGAGCAAGGGTGTCCGCCACCAGCGAACGAACTGCACGCGTAATCGGGCATCGACAAAGAGCACGGGGCAGGAGGGAGCGCGTGCAACGCAGCTCCTCTAGCAGTGGAAGGAGTCTGCTGCTGTCAGCGGACCAGCGGCAAGCGTGATCGAGCATCTTCAAGGACGAGCAGCGTGCCAACGCAGCTACTCCAGCAGTGGAAAGAGCCTGTATCTGCCAGCCGACGGGCAGCTAAGCCGACGCCCCGAGCAAGAAAAAGCAACAAAGCTGTTTGTATGACCCTCCCCCACACCCACACCCTCATGACGCATCGCCCGGCATCTGCTTTACGCAAATAATTGAACAAGTGGCAAAGAAGGCACACAACACGCATATCGGGACAAATAAGATTGTTCCAAAAGTATCTTTGTGTTTCAAGAAGGGTTGCCATTCCAAGGTGGTGCATTAAATATCAACTGATCGTGAAGAACATTGCTGCCCATTGATTTACGTGGATACGGTCATTTAGAAGTATTTTAGTTGTGCGTTTTTTTCATTTTAATTGCATAATCTTACAAATGAATTAATTGATAACTACTCTTGCTTTCGGGACATGTTTCTTTATTGCCCTTCGTATGAATATGGTTGCATGAATTTTTAATGACTTTTCCTCTCGCCGTGTATACTCGCGTACTCTGAGAAATAATCGATTGTACTGTTACCCAGTTAACAAACGACCATTGAGGGTTAAATGTATGGATCAATGAGGGGAACATCTCCTGGAGTACTGTGACAATTTCAAGCATGAGAATTTGCATATTAGAGTGTTAAGGTTTTGTTTAGAAATTAAAATTGCTTAACACAGAAGTGTTTGAGTTTCTTTCGTGAGTTCATGCATAATAATCTTAATTATAAGAACTGTATCCTGCGGTGAGATTTGAATTTGGAGACCTGACATAACGTACTAATACATAATCAGTAAATGTTAAAGCGAGAATAATTGTATTATACCGATTGATAATACGAACCTAGACAACGAAGCAAAGTTTATTGTGGCGTACTTAAAGCACACCTGCATAACTTCATACGATTCGTTGTCTTATCCCGATTGATAATACTACCCTCAACAACGAGGTTTAGCCTAATTGTCATAACTGCGTACATTAGTATAACCTCACACAGCATAAATTAATACGATTATCTCTCTAAGTAGCATAATGTATGCACATAATTACATAAATTAACATGATTTCGGATATTTACGCATTTTTTAAAATTCCATTTAAATTGTATTATTTTAATTAAATTTTCATACCCGGCATATACAACAGTACAGTAAATGCGCTGTAATGTGATGCAGTATATTTCAATGCAATTATTGAATGTTGGCGATGTGTCTCTTGATAATTTAGAGTTATAATTTTAACACATGATCTGATTCTGAGCATACACAGCAAAAGCTCTTATCCAGCATCCATGGGGAATCAAGGGTGCCAGTTCATCAAATGTGCAGCTTGTCTGAGAGGAATACTTTATGGTTCAGCAAAATTTTCCAATGTAAAAACATTTTTTCATGAAGAAATTAAGCATACAATTTAACTGATATTCAAAAGAATTTACTATTTTGCAGAAGTACTTACCAGTCATTTGTACAGCATTTTAAGTTTACTGTAGAGAAGCAGTGGTGCTGTTTAGATTACAGTGTCCAGTAGTGCAGTACTGTATGTTCAAGTACAGTGAAACAATTAGGTTAGGCAGCCCACCACACGATCACAATGGCCGATTGCAGATTGCAATTGCGACTCCATTTGTGCCACCACTCGGCAACGTCATGAAGCACGCTGCAAGATGCCAGAATTTTTCTCGATACGTGAAGTAATATTTATATTGCCGCTTGACAGATGCCGGTTAATAGAGCATTCCGGATGGTAAAGTACGTGATAGAGATTTTGCTGTAAGTACCATTTGGTATTAAATGGTCAAAAATGGAATGTCCTAACTAGACGAATGTTTGTTTTGACTGTAACCTGTGCAGGACATTTACATGACTGCTGTTTTTCATGTGATACAGGGTCAATGATATTTTTTGTAGCTTAGGATTCATATCCCCCAACTCAGTGTTCGTCTTCGAAATCACGAATATAGTACACACAAGGGAAACACTGAAATGTTAC